GACTACAAAAAATACAACCAGCGTTTTACCGTATTGTTGGTTACTAAGTTAAACCATTACAATTATTAGTTAATCATATTGTTAGTTACTACGTTTAACGACTACAAAAAATACAACCAGCGTTTCACCGTAATGTTGATTTCAGAGAAAACACGTTATCGTTTGAAATTTACAATGTTTCTAAATGTTCATACATAGAATTTAAATAATAATATTATTGTACCTGGTTGTTTGAGGAGATCTACACCAGACTGTAGAAGTAAATCATAAAATATGGTAAGACCAACTGGCTGTCCTTGGACATTGAGACCAGGCATTTCAATAATTTGAAAGATCGTGTTTCCTGTTGGAGGAGGAGCACCACCTCCAGTCACAAGTCCTGGTGGAGAGGAACTTGAGCCACCATTCTGGATTAGAGGAAATGTTGATTTGGGTGGCTGACCTCGGGGAGGTGTTCCTGGACGAGAATGAATGGATGGACCTTGAGATTGACCTCGGGGAGGTGTTCCTGGACGAGAATGAGTGGATGGACCTTGAGATTGACCTCGGGGAGGTGTTCCTGGACGAAAATGACCAGATGGACCTTGAAATTCCATCCAGTCAGTTTCGTCCAGGAACACCTCCCCGAGGTCAAACCCAAGTCCATCCAGTCAGTTTCGTCCAGGAACACCTCCCCGAGGTCAGATTCTTTACCATAAATAATAATGTAATAATAATGAAAATTTGTTTAAACTCGTGTATCTAAAACTCTGTTTGTTATTTTAATGACCAGATGGATCTGTTAAAGTGAACAACGCCAACATCATCGAGTTCGATATCTTAACAGAAAATGGAGTCATACATTCAATTGATCGCGTTCTTTTTACACCACCATCATCTCAGCCAGGCGCTGGTACAACTTTTACTCGTCCAGGAACACCTCCCCAAGGTGTTTGGATCGTACAAATGTTATATAATCTGGTTGGATCGTACAAATGTTATATAATCTGGTTGGATCGTACAAATGTTATATAATCTGATTGGATCGTACAAATGTTATATAATCTGGTTGGATCGTACCAATGTTATATAATCTGGTTGGATCGTACAAATGTTATATAATCTGGTTGGATCGTACAAATGTTATATAATCTGGTTGGATTGTACAAATGGTATATAATCTGATTGGATCGTACAAATGTTATATAATCTGGTTGGATCGTACAAATGTTATATAATCTGGTTCGATCGTACAAATGTTATATCATATGGATTGGATCGTACAAATGTTATATAATCTGGGTGGATCGTACAAATGTTATATAATCTGGTTGGATCGTACAGATGTTATATCATATGGATTGTATCGTACAGACGTTATATCATATGGATTGGATCGTACAGACGTTATATCATATGGATTGGATCGTACAAATATTATACAAACAGGGGTGGATCGTAGTTCTCTTTACTGATGTAGTGGTTAATGATGACACAACAACGTATCTACCACATCACTTACCTGATGTAACAAAAAACCGGAGCTGCTGCCCTCTAAAGGTTGGAAGGATCAAACCACTTGTGAACTCCTTCTTATAATGAACGCTGTCTATCACATGGTTCAGTATCAACTCTGTGTAGGAGAAAGTAACGAACAACATACATCACTATATTAATAAGGTCTTGGTGTACGAACATCAGTCACGTGGAAAAACATACGTCATTAGTTTAACAAGAACTTGGTGTACGAACATCAGTCACATGGAACAACATACATCACTAGTTTAACAAGAACTTGGTGTACGAACATCAGTCACATGGAACAACACACGTCATTGGTTTAACAAGAACTTGGTGTACGAACATCAGTCCCATGGAACAACATACGTCACTAGTTTAACAAGAACTTGGTGTAAGAACATCAGTCACGTGGAACTAACACACGTCATTAGTTTAACAAGAACTTGGTGTACGAACATCAGTCACATGGAACAACACACGTCATTGGTTTAACAAGAACTTGGTGTACGAACATCCGTCACGTGGAACAAACACGTCATTAGTTTAACAAGAACTTGGAGTACGGTTTTATATTTCAACCTGATGTAAATAAACTAAAAACATATGTAGTTCATAAACAACAAGGTTTGGAGAAAATCCTACAAACACCAAGTTCTTATTGTTGTAGTGATGTATGTTGTTAAGTGTAACTTACATCCATACACCAAGACTTACTAATGTAGTGATGTATCTTGTTCCATGTGACTGATGTCCGTACACCAAATTCTTGTTCAACTAGTGACGTATGTTGTTCCATATTCTTCAGCCATCCCTTCCCAACATATACACATTCCTCTAACATGCCATTCCTCTCTAGCATATCCACACAAAAGACTATTTAAGAAGATTGGTTTTCAGGTTTACAAAAGTAAGTTGATAATACATGCTTTCAGCGTCTAAATCGAATTCCTTTCAATATCATTTCAGAAACTATTGATAGGAGGACCTCAAGTAATTGCTTCAACTTTGGCTCAAAATGGGTATGTCTTCATCATTAATAGGGTGCTTTATCCTTTACCAAAAGAAGATATATTTGTGGAACTAAAAGATCGTCCTAACCTCAGCAAACTATTGTCTCTAGTTGTAAGATCTGGACTAGAGGAAACTCTTCGTGGTAAGGAACTGTTTAACATCAGGTGAATTATCTTACCTTTAAAACTATCTCGATTAGATAGTCTATGTAAGGAATTTACTTTATAAATTAATTCACTTACTATTCATAGTTACTCAGAAAGCAGAGACTTCTAGTTTAATATATTGTAGTGAGAAAATCTTGATATCCTGTAATATATTTTTCAGGTCCTGGTCCTTATACGGTGTTTGCTCCAACAGATGAAGCTTTTGCGTCAGTTCCAGACAATGTTTTACAGAATGTATTGTCTAATCCAGCTGCACTACAAGGTACAAGTTTCTCATGGTTCATTTTACTGTCTAATTAGTAGCAACATATGCAAATATCTATGATCATTCAGCCATCCCTCCCCAGACTATTCACATTCTTCTCCCATCTCCCCCCAACATATCCACACCCACTACTGGATGTTATGGTGATAAACACACCCATTACTGGATGTTATGGTCATAAACACACCCACTACTGGATGTTATTGTGATAAACACACGTTAATGAACATCCTTTACTCGACTTAACTACATTCATTCTTCTGCCATCTCACCTTCACATATCCCAATTCTTTTATCATTCCATATCTCCACATTCTTCTGCCATCTCTTCTCAACATGGTTTATGACCATAACATCAAGTAGTGGGTGTATTTATCACCATAACATCCAGTAGTGGGTGTGTTTAACACCAGAACGTCCAGTAGTTGGTGTGTTTGTCACCATAACATCAAGTAGTGGGTGTATTTATCACCAGAACGTTCAGTAGTGGGTGTGTTTAACTCCAGAACGTCCAGTATGGTGGTTAGTAAGGAGGGAAAGTAAGGATTTCATCCAAAGACAGCTAGTCGTTTGACTAAAGTGGTTAGGGTAGGGGAAGAAAAGTTAAAGATTTTCCAACTCAATATGATAACTAACTGGATCAGTTTGGTTCAGGCAGTTGGGGTTTATT